TATAATAATAGCTCTGGGTTTGTATGTCAATAACAACTTATTTGTTTGCATTTCAATAATCGTTTCGTTAATATTGGTATATGATACTACAGTTTCGTGACTTTCAGGTTACAGTGGGCATTGTGGTGGATTTCAGTATATTTAGAATAATACTTTCTCTTATTTTCAGATTTATATATCATATACCAAAAATATCGATGCAAAATCGCATAAAAATAAAAAGGAATCAGGATTAGACGCATTGGCGGTAATAAATTCGAAGATTCTTTATTAGATTCGGAATCCAGTAATATTTACTCGACGAAGTATCTCATTGACAGTGACGATGAATTTCAGTACTGCATCATCATCGGATGAGGAAAATTCAGATCCACAAAAAATTGTTTGGCAATCAGTATCACAGGCGAATAATGGTAGTCATCGCCCTTGGAAAGGTGATTGCTCTCAAGACCTCGAAGAACCCTACTCTCCTGTGACCGATTTTCGAAAATTATTTGACAGTGAAATAAAATGTTCCAAACGCAACGTAGAACTATGTTTAACGCCAAGTGCAAACCGTTTTATGGAATTTTACGTTTAAGCTTTTATGCACGGAAGTGCAAACATTGTAAGCTGTTGTTACTTCAAAGTTAAAAAAGTGAATTAATTATAGTAAAATATTAATTAGAATGAAATTGTTTAAACTGGTAAATCTTTTTTAATCTGCATATACAGGCTTATAATCGTTGATTTTTCCGTTGCATACATTGTTTGATATTTAAGAAAAGAATTTCATCCATAGAGGGTTAATATTCCGAAACCTAAAAGTTTGCGACACTTGAGCCCTTCACTGCACAAATCGATTAACTCCATTTTTTGAAAAACCTTAAATTTAAGATTTTACACTGAATAATAAATAATTTATTTCAGAGGTCACTTTGATTAACTCCGTACTCTAATGTAAATCGTTGCAATAATGAAACTCAAATGCACTAGCAAGCCACCTTGATGACTATCGTCATTAGTACTTTAGTTATTGACGTAATAAATTTTTAATTTAACATTTTGATTCTCATAAACAGGAGAATCAAATCTACCAATATGCAAAATTTCAACTAAATCAGCGACCCGAAAACCTTGCACTCTGCTAAGATCAACTTCTCGTTCCCTCTCCTCGTTGTCCCAACAACACAACAGGGTTAATATATACATCCGCCTATTATACAAGATTTTGTTTAATTTAAATGCACTTGATTGTAAACCGTCGGTTCGGTCATATTTCAGTTCATTTACTACAACAACTTATTAGCATATAGGTTTCCTGTGCTATATATTATATATATGCATAATATATATGCTATGTATATCCTTTATCTCGGTAAACAAAGTTGTACGATTATACAGGGCGTCTCACGTGACACTTTTCATGACTTTTCAAGTACTTGCGATGATCTGATAAAAAACAATTTTTAAACAATATTGGATCAGATTTTCATTGGCTATACAGTGCAATAAAAAAATTTCCAAAAATTTTATTCTCTATAAGTGTTAAGATCACCTTCGTTTTTTAAAATACATTTTATATTTTTGACCTAATAGTACTATAGCTTGTATCTAGACTTGTAAAGAAATGAAAACTTCGATAAGAAACGACAATCAGCATAAATAAGTGACAATAACTTGTGTTTATTATTAACCCTTTGCACTCGAGAGGTGACCTTCAGCCACCATTTCATAAAATTTGGAAGATCGATATTAATTAATATATCAACTTTAATGTAACGCAACAGTGTGCGAGGTATCGAAATCAAATAATTCTACAATTCTATTATTATACAATTCTTTATTTACTGCTCAAAAAGGTAACGTCAATATTTTAGTAAAGAATATTTGAATTTTTACTCTTCTCTAGCCAAAAAATCGTCGAGTGCAAAGGGTTAAGACTGGAAATTGCATTCAAATCTAGAACCTCGAGTAAACGTTGTATTACTAGCATAAGAAGAATATATACTAGCATAAGAAAGCGTAAAAAATAAACGTATTAAGAAATTTTATTTACAATTTATTTTAAATTATTTGTTTTCATGGGCGGAAAATTAATACATAATAAGAAATAGATTGAAAGAGAATTATGTACGAACGGGACTCGGGAACCCTGGGGCCCTTAGGCACTTTATTTGGGTATTACAGATATACTTATAAAAGGAATAGCAGAAAGACCGTTGACTCGTTTAATACCCAAATGGGAAAGAGAGGAAAGCGACTATGACAAAACGTGATTCTTCATAATTTCGCATACGCTCAAATGCACGTGCATACAGGCCAAACCGTTTCATGTCGGATTTCCAATATAGCGCTCAGATAATACCAACTGCTGACAGATAAATCTTCCTAGAGTAATCTTTTACTCTCGACAAATGTTAACGCTTCTACGTATGTCACATAGCTAACAGCTAGAGTTGGGATTAGGTTTAGGTCGGGCTAGTTTTTCTCTCGTCCATCACCAATACACCTTTCCTCCAATATTTCGAAAACTAAAAATTATCGGAGTCGATAATGTCTACCTCTTTCTATATGCAATAATTACCAATATTTCCAATACCAATAATTACCAGTATTTTTCCAATATCTGTGTCCACTTTATTGTATAATACTATAGGATACCATTTCCAAAGAAATCGCGAATCGGCCATTGCCAACAAAAACAAATTATAAACCGATCAATATTTTCTAGAAGCAAATGGAAAAGTTATTTTGGGTAACAAAATTAAGTTGCGCGGTCTCTACGGGAAGGTGAAGCGTAGGTTAAGTATAGCATAAAAGCATGGTCCCTGACGACCAAAACAGGGTCCTTAGAAATCAATTGTGACCAACACGAGCGTGAGTCGCTTGGTGTTGGAAAGAGAGTTAAATTAGAGTACGTCTTTGTGCGTTTTCATTTCGTTAACTTGGTGTTCTTTTCCTTAGTTAAAATAGTTTTATGAGCTTTGAGTTTGTGTTATTCTGTTCTCGTTGTTTCGTCAATTTTTGGTGCCTCGAAAGCAGTTTTCGCCATCCGACGTATATAACAAATGGCGATAAAATGGAATCAAAAACAATTGGATTTTTTACTGCACATAGTACCACGTGAATCGCTTATTTGTAGAAAACACGAGCAAAGTTTCGAAACAATAGACTACCCACAATTCTCCATTTTAGGACAGAAATTGAAGAAACCTTTTATTTTATCCAATATCTTTTTCACGAAATTTGTTAAAAAAGATATTCCACACAAAATTTTATTCCTTTTTTCCGCCAGAATAAGCATCTATAAATAAAAATATAGGTACTTATTTAAGAAAACCAAGATTTAACTTCAAATAAGCTTCAAGCCACTTAACATTTAATGGACGGATTGTTTTTCCTCGGTCTTTCTCGGTTTCCAGGTATTTTTTGAGAGAATTAAATAAACGTTCTAAAGCGTTGCTATTTTATTAAATCAATGTTATTTTTGATAAAATTTTACAAAGATATTTTGTTACGCGTTTACTGTTTCTTAAATACAAACAAGACTATTCTCTGTGGATAGAATTGAATACCAATATCTCCCACGTTTTTTAACAATTGACAAATTAATATATTTACATAACAATATTTAAATATTAACAACAATTCTAAATAAACTATTTTTAAATATAAAGATGGACTCTATCTTGAAAATTCTTTTCTCTCACTCTCACTCTTATTAGCTCATGTTTACTCTACGACGATTCTCACGTAACTGTTTCATTCTGACACATACTTCTCAACACTTTTTAGCAACATTTACACTAGATTCCACTCGCACATATTATATTTATATCATACCAACTAACTTTCATTTATTCTACCTCAATACCATTCACATATATAAAGCAACACTCACACTCTCATGAAACTAATACTCACATTCCCTTCGATCATTTTTTAATTTTTCTCATAATGCCGCAGTGTGAGAGGTACTGATCAATCCTACCTACCCTTTTCATATATTTCTTATAGTCGTTAATGCAATTTGGTTTTGTGGCTGAAGGATGAAGGAGTACAGAGAGTGATTTCGAAGACTTTCCTTTCCAATATTTTTTTTTTTCTTGCATCGTACGTTTATCGGAAGTATATACAGAACAGTTAACAAGAGAATAAAGACTTTTTAACAGGGGTCCTTAAAGGTATAAATAGGAAATATTGACTAATTTAATCTTATAGACTCCGAACCAGAGTACGCGTAGACTGCACCTTGAAATTCAGGGGTAGACGCACTTATTGCTAAATGGGGAACTAGTAAGTTATGGGAACTTCGTCTATGATATAGAAAATAAATATAGAAAAAGGGCCAGAGAAAAAAGTATATTAGCCTGTCTATGAGAAGAGAGGTAGGGGATGAAAAGAAGGAAGGAGAAAGAAAGGGATAGGGAGAGGGAAGCGAGATTTATTTAACTCTTTCGGCACAGGATTTGATGTAATAAAATAGATTCATGTTGCATAGAAATTTGATTGCGTTTTAAAGGAAACAAAATTGGTATAGAACGAATTTTTATAAAAATTAACTTACTTCTACTATTTTTCATATAAAATCTGAAAAAAAAGATTATCGCAATAAATCTTCCGCTTGCAGCAACTGATGAACCTGCACTGGCATGTTGAATGTTGCCAACACGAGCGAATACATTTATAACATTTGTCGAAGGTATTACCAACTGCTTTGCGTAAATAAGACGAAATATAAACCATTGCGCATGCAGTTATTACAATATTTCGGGGTGGTACTAAAAATATCCCACCTTGCATTACGGTGCATCAAAAAGGTGGGACACTTTTAAACCCAGTGTGCCCCAAAGAGTTAACAGGATATATTTGTGTATATATATGCTTATGCAAGTAGATTTAGACTGCTGCAAGTAACAGTTTTTATCCATGATGGTGTCAATAAAAACTAAATTACCAACTCCCTTGGACGAAATACAACCCTAAACCATCACGCTGCCTCGGTGTTTTACGGTACCTCACGTGTTTCGATGGTGGAACTCTTTATTCGCTTTCCGCCACACCATTCTTCTTCCATCTGAATTGTGGATGTTAAATTTGCTTTCATCAGCAAATGTAACGTTGTCCCACCATGATTCCTCCTTTGAAATAAACTCTCGTGCGAAGAATACACGCTTTTTCCTCTTGGCCTCGTTAATAAAAGGCTTCTTTCTACAGACACGGTCGTTGTACCCGTGTTGCCTAAGAGTTCTCCGAATTGTTTCGGGATGAACTCGTGTTCCTGTCTCTTCATAATGTTCTGCCGCCAATTTCGGAACACTTGATCGAGGATTTGCTTTAATTTTTCGAACCATTCCTCTTTTTTCTCTCGCAGTTAGAGCGGCTGGTCGACCAGTTTGAGGAATAAAGTCGATACGATCTTCATCCTCGAACCTCCTAACAATGTCAGCGACCGTACTTTTACTGATTTTAAGTAAAGAACTAATGTCGCGGTAAGACTTTGCTTTTCCACGATGAAAAATTATTAATTGACGTAAATCAAACGATGTATTCTTTCCTTTACGACCCATTTCAACGTGTTTCAAGCTCAATACTGAGGGATACTGTGGTAACATCGTCGGCTAAAGCTATGTTTGTAAACATTCATCGGTAACTTGCAAAAACATTAACTGCTCGGGAAGAGAAATATCGTAAACGTACAATGTGTCCGAATATTTTTGTGACGTGAAAATAGGGTATCGTTTTGTTTATAATTTATTATAAAAGCATATGTTTCTAGAAGAAATAGTGAACACGATCCATTTATTAGTATCTGCGATACGATCTGATTAATTCAGACATACCCTGCTGTCCGAATATTTTCGTGAGTCTGGTATTAGCAAAATTCCTAAACTTTCACCTCTACCTTTACAACTTAATTCGCTAGAACGGCGTTGAGGCACATCGAGCCTCTGGAATTGCAGTCGCAGTATAGAATATAAAATAAACCGTTGGATCTGTTAAAAGTATAAGCCTTAGAATAAAATCATATTACAAACACGCTCTCCGGGACGGAACAGTCGGAGACGCTACCTGTCTTCTGAATGTCTTTCTGACTATTTCAAAAATCAACTTACCGTTAAATAATAACTTTTCCATCTCTAATTTTTTTATGTCAACAACTATCATGCTGGCATCATGAATTGAGCATGTCATACGAACTTCGTCCTTATATTTCCATATTTCTAACGCAGCTGGTTAAAAATTCAAGCAGAAAGGTAAATTTATGTGGCTCGTCTTAGAATGGAGTGAGTCAGAATGAAATAACGTAAATTTGGGTGGCTCGTCCGTTAACCCTTTCGCTACCAGAGCCTCAGCAGAAAGACCACCACCACAGCACAGACGTCTTATTATTTAAATATGATACCAATTGTCATTTATTTTTGCGGGATGTATCTATAACGTTCTAACTAAGTGAAATTAACAATTTTACAAGCCGACACACATAAGTGACACTGGGCTATAGATAGATAATTCCTTTGGTAGCCCCGTCGTCACATATATGTGACACATTTGATTAAACGGAAATGAATAAAATTGGAAAGGAAAAGCAAAATAAAGGGATAGTAGATCCAGAGTAGCAGAGACTGTGTGACTCTACATATAACTCAGCTAATTTACTTGCAGCAGCACTGTTGCGTCCCGAACACTGCAACTCGCTGGTGGAGTTTCATGGGGTTGTAAGGCCCGTTGCGCTGCTGCGGCCTACTCTAACTTGATAGAGGTAGACCTGGTTGGTGTTGAACTGCAGAGAGTTCTATTGTAGATGACAGCCTTCTGGCAGAGTCGTTGGTGGGTCTCGAGTGATGATGCTGGTGTCGTCGTGTTGGAAGTTTTGCGAGAGAAGTCCTTGTGAATGCCTTGTCAGTAGTTTTATAGGGATCGACTGTCTTCTGATTGGTTGGTATGCTATTGGGGGTGTATGCCCACTTCAGTGTCTTTCGGTGGTGGTGGTTGTTTAAACAATTTAGGTTCTGACGCCTGTCGTCTAAGAGGATAATTTATCGGTCCTTTGTGACAGTTTATCCTATCGGTGGTTTAGGTGACCCTGAGCATGTGCAAGTGAAGGGACCCTTGCAATAGAGGCATAAAACAGGCCTCCACTTGACTTGGGATATTGCGGTCCTAGGGCCACTTAGTGCAACCAATTAAAAAATATTGCTAAAGAACACGTAGCATAAATTTGTGATGACCAGATTATTTTAAAGAAGTAATTGTCGCCAGACCAATAACATCCTGTATCTATTTTATTGTTTTATAACATAACCCGTCTGTGTGCGACACGATTTGGTGCAAACAATCATCATAAACTGATAATGAACACCCGTCACATATTTGTGACGTCGGGCTTAGATAAGAAAATCAGGTCGTCACGTATATGACGCTAGTAGCGAAAGGGTTAATTGTTAACGAATGAAAGGTATGTGAACGGTATGTGCGCGTGTGCGTATGCGTGTGCCGATACTCGGCTTTTGGCTGAGACGTCGACATGGTGACACATTGCCGTGAGAATCACGTTGTAGAGAAACACGTTGATCGAGAATATTTGAAAGATCGAAAATATTGGGAAGCAACGGAAAACAATAGAAAAGCTTAGCATATAAGAGGGTTTGAAGAATAGCTGAGTGTGCAGTGGGTTGCCTGTGGGCAGAATGGAAACCACGAATAAAATATGTACATAGTTCACTTGTGTTTCTTCGAGTCCCTCGTTCGACTTCTCTTACAAATGGAATAGTATTTTCCCCTTTACACCTCTTTGCTCAACATTTCTACCGAAAATGTGTTCCGATGCTTAGATGTAATAATATTATAAATGAATAATTCATATTTATTTTATTATATATTCGTATGAATAATTTATAAATAACTTATTATAATGATACGTTGAAAATCTTTTGCTAAATATCACGGTGTTAATCGTCATCTTCCTCATTACCTGATAAGATCCTCCATCGTCGATTTACCTGCCGCCTTAATTTCTTATTTATTTATTTATTTATTTATTTAGCAACGAACAGTGGCCCATAATACACGAGGTATTTACAAATAAATTAATTTAGTTGGTGAGATGCATATAAAGCTCCAACTATACTTCGTTTAAAAATGTCAGTAGAACAAAAGAAGTCAAAATTATAATAATAATATTAATAATGGTGTACTTGTTAAAACGAAAGGAGTCTTTTGCGATGTACAGAAGAGAATAGAATACGGTCAAACAGTTGAAACATGAATATAAACATATTTACGAAAAGAGAAAAGCATAATAATAACAATAGTAATAATGATAATAAGTGAATAACTGGAAGTGACCTAACCAATCATACTATAGCCCACAATAGATCAGATATAATACTGTGGAAAAAAGAGACAAACGAATTTCACGTTATAGTTATTTAGCCGTAATTAATAGTTATTCAACCGACAATTTATGAAAAAACATACAAAACTAAAATGGGAAAATATAAACTGTTAGCAGCAGAAATAAAAATAATGTACAACATTAAATCAATCAAGATACATCCAATCGCCATATCTTCAACAGCACAGAGCCAAACACATTGAAGAAACACGTCAAAGAACTACAACTACACCAAAATGTCATAAACAAAATATAACATAGCGTCATATTGCAAACAATGGAATTCCTCCAATCAAAGAACTACAACTACACCAAAATGTCATAAACAAAATATAACATAGCGTCATATTGCAAACATGTAGAATCACCCGTGAATTCCTCCAGTGCCCATAAATACGTCCACTGTGCTGGATGTCAAAAATGCTTCGTCGTGACTAGCGTAGATGAACTCTACATCCTCGGATCGATGAGGATCCAACCAAAAAGTTTCCGCAAAAGTATCCCTGACCGATTTTTTCAAGCAAGAAAATAATAAATTATCATAGTAACAGCGATAACGATAACCATAATTGTAACGAGTAATATAAGAAAGTCGCAATGCCTATTTAATAATTTATTAAGTATTGTAACAGTATCTATTTATTAATTTATCAAGTATATCTATTTACAAACACAATGAATAATCACAAAACGTACTATGGCATTTATGACAAAGTAGCGTGTTAAGAATTACTATATTATATATATGTATAACATCTATACAGTGTCGCTGAGGTACTGGGTAAACGCACGCGTGACATGTATACATGTATTTACCTTATTTGTGTATATATATGTACATATAAATCGTATCATGGAGAGGGTGTTTTGAATAATAAAAGCCTCAGAAACGCAGAATATAGATTTCGAAATATAAATAAAAGTAATTCTCTAAAATAAAAGCCAATTATTTTATTTCTTATAATTGAAAACCTAGTACTAAATTATAACAGATGTTACTATATCTAATGGTCGTTTGCGAAGATAGAACTGATGTAAGTGAAGTAAAATGTAAGAACTCCTCATCACATTGATTAAGGTCTCCTGTGCAAATATGAGGTCTGATAAAACCCTTCTGCGTTCGAGACTCATCAGATTTAGTTTTAGTCAGAGAACAGAGTCGAATGAGAAATCGAAAATTTCGAGTGGAGACGAAATAAGAATTACTTTTGACATCGAGACGATATCTCGAAGGTGTATCTTGATTGAGATACTCGAACGAATTTTAGAGCTTTAGAAATTTCAGGAATATTTCGATATTTTTAAAAATGCATAGGCGTATAAATGTCAGATATATAAATGACAATTTCCTAAAGAAATAAAAAATGATTGGTACAGTTTTTGCCCCATTATAAAATTAAAATTCGTGAAATATTGTTCATCGATAACAGAAAGAGTAACGGTGCAAGATGGGAACTTTGCTATACGTACAAAGTGATACAAGTAGTGCTCATAAGCGAAAAAATGAATTGTCAAATCTGACAATTTGCTTTTTATCAGATACGAAACTACAGTCAGTCTCCTATAACGCGATTAATTCGGATCGCATTATATGGAAACATAGTAATAAGACAAATCAGATTAATTTATACCGCGTTATATGGAAACCATTGCTGCATCATATAGAAACCGCGCTATAAGAAACTCAGAAATAATACAAATTGAACGAATTCGTACCGCGTTATATGGAACCTCAAAAATAAATAAATTGTACATAAATCAGACCCGTATAAAATCTGCATTCTCAAAGTATCCAGTTGCGATTGATATGCTTAATAAATCAAATTTTATAATGAAAATGGCAATGAATATGTAGATTTTACATATTTGAATTCAGGTTTATCCAATATAATACATAATTCGTATAATAAAATTATAAACTAAAAAAATTGTTTCCAATAGAAAAACTTAATTTGTTACATATTAGTGACGCATCCTTGTTTAAAATAGGATTCTAACGTGTTAAAATTAAACGGTTTATTACCTTGTTTTATATAATTATCTTTTGGGTGCCTATCAAAGTCCTTATTAAAATGTTTCCTATCATAAATTCTCTTATACATCGATGTTATTCCATGTTTCTTCTTATTTATACTTATTTCTGAAACAAATGTTTCATTTTCAAACACTCTTTAGTCCTTATTAAAATCTTTTCTATCATAAATTCTCTTATACATC